ATGGGATCTGAAGCTGCCTGCTATGAACTAAAGGGGACCATATTTCCCCTAGCACAGTATTGAAAGTAAAGGCCAGTATACTTAATATATTTGAGTCAACCATTTTTTTTCTTCCGCTACTGTGCAGTCACTTGGGCCATTAAAAAATCTGATCACCTGCGGGAGTATTTATAATCGACTTCATCACAATCATAACTCCTCATTCTACCCTCCCAATTGACATGATGACTTGAAAGCTTCTAAGCGCCTTTAAATTTCCTTTTGCTTTCATTCCTGTATGCTCTTGAAGTCTTATATTTGAATTTTTTTTGTTTGTGTCTTTGTCACAGATATATATCGTTTGGACCGCCTCACATCGGGTGTGCTGATGCTGGGCAAGACTCCTGAGTACACGAAAGTGCTGGAAGATCAAGTGGCCAACCGTGTCGTGGAGAAGGAGTATGTGTGCCGGGTTGTCGGCAAGTTCCCAGAGTGAGTACTTCACGATGAGGTTCTTAAAATAAGTTAAAACTAATAGTGCAACCCTTTTTTATTAATGAAATATATAGCCACGCCCAGTGGTATACCATAAATAACAGGCAGGTTACAGAAATGTCATTTTACTGTTCCATGTAGTTTCTTCCTCAGAAGCTTGAATTTAATGTCATGAATGTCTTTTTTGCTGACTCTTCTAACAGCTGTGTCAACTAAAGTTTATGTATAATGAACTTGGGATCTGTTATCTGGACTTGGGGGGGCCTGTAATTTGAAAGAAGCTGTTGTATAACATGTGAGAGTTATTGCTTTACCTCCTCATAATAATATGGATGGAAAGGACATTTCTTTTAACAGCAAAGATGGAGAATCCTCTTTTGACCTTTTCCTCCTTATGTTCTTATAGCCTTTTTTTGTCTTGCAGAACAGGGACTGATGCTGATAAATACTTTTGTTGTTAAAGAATCTAAACTTTATTGAGCTGTTGTAGTAACCAGTTACATTTTGCATTTTGAATGCCTGGTGTTTATATTTATCCCATAGACCTATCTCTCCCTCGGAAGAGAGCATAAGCCATCCACCAATTTTCCTTCTCTTTTATGTTTCATACTAACACTGGTGAATTTTTGCAAATGGAAAAAGACCTATTTTAAAGTATCTTTGCTCCGTTGTGTATTATTTAAATCAGTTAAAATTGTTTTTAGGCCCCTAACAGAGAATGAAACCCTTTTTTAAAATGTGTGAAATACTTTTTAGTTGAATATTACAGAGTCTTTAATATTTCCCTTCAATTTATTACTGGATCCGTTATAACTAAAATCCTGCTATTACGGATATTTCACAGTGACCCTGTGACAGTGGAGCAACCCCTTCAGGCCCTGTCAAACAAGCTGCGTCTTCAGATAGTGTCTCCCACTGGCAAGGCCAGCACCACACATTTCAAGAGGCTGAGCTACAATGGCACTTCAAGTGTTGTGAAATGTACGACTGTCTACAGGATATTTTAATATGTGCTTTAGTTTCTATTAATTCTTTTTTTCTGTACTTTGTTCTCTGTTCAGTGACTAAAACGGTAGTCTCTGCCCAAAATCCCGGCTCTTATGATCCCAGTTCGCTTAAGATCCGACTTTTTAAAGAAATCAGAATCTTCACTACACAAAAATCACCCTTGTGATCCAGCTCTAAAGGACTACATTCAGTTAAGATCCCAATTTTCAGATCCTAATTAACGGAAATAAAAAACCGTTGCAAACGCAGCTAATCAAACAAGCAACGAAAATTCAATAATTTTACTGCCCATTGCGTCACAGATCATTCACTCTCATTAATGCGATTTTGTTTTTGATCAAGTAAGACCTAGAGATCGTGTTGAACAAAATCATCGTCAGGGGAGATAACAAAAAGAAATAAACAGAACACCAAACTCATGGATTAGACCTACTTTGATATTTCCCTTCAATTTATTACTGGATTTCTTATAACGAGAATATTTCTCACTTATCCCCTCCCTCTCGTTATAACGAATTCAACTGTATACATTTTGGACAGATTTAGAACTATGGGATCACTTAGATCTGTCTTAACTCTCAGCAGTTCACCGAAAGGAAAATCGTACGAATTCGTACGATGAGCATCGGGTGTAGATCTAACGGCAGAAATCCATTCCTTTTTACATTTTGATGCTTCTAATACCTTTTTTATCATAAAAAAGGGTTGAATCTATATATTTTTCATAAAAATAATCATAATTTATAAAATATTGTAAAAATTTGGTGCACGGAAAATCAGCGTTTGTTTACGTTCTCTCCGCCGCCATTTTGGATTTTGGGAGAAGGCCAGCTGTGAAGTTTCTACACTAAAAATTGGAAAAAAGCGTAAAAATGTCGTCAGATGAGTCTGATATTGACCTGAATGACTCAATGGATGAAGAATCTGATGTCTGGGTACCAGAATCGGACGATGAGGGTCCCGAGGACGGAAACCAAGCCCCGACTTTGACCAATCGTGATCAAAACAACAGGTTAGTGTTTTGTTTACATCCTGCCTCTGCACAAGAAAGCCTATAAAATGTATTCTAGCGGGTTTAGGCCACTGGTATTGTTACTTCAAGCTTACAGAATAGTTATTTGTGGTAACCTGAAGTTGTGAAAGCATGGTTTGCCTCTAAAAAATTTTAATTAACTTTTTTTATGTGCCTAGCTACGGTTGTCATGTTATTGTTTACACAGCAATTCCTCAAACAGGAAGTTTGTTTTTGTTTACACCTCACCCGTGTACAGTAGCCTTATTCCCTGCTAAGATTTTATCATTGTGATAATATGATGATAATGACAGAACAGCTTTGTTCAAGGTCTGCCTCTGTCTAGATCTAGATCTAGATCTAGAAATAAGTGCCTATGACATAGGCCTTATCAACATGTCAACTTCGACTCCGCCGATAGCGTCCTAATCCTTTGCTTATTTTCTTCCCTCAGAAACTAGCCACAACCTCCACGTAACCAGTCTTACGCGGACCAGGATGATGGCCCACCAGAACCACTGCCTCAGTTTAGGCCTGCCGTGCTGTTGGCCTGCATCTCCCTGACTGTATCACCCGACAGGACATCCGAAGTTTTCTGACGCCAGGTGAGAGCATTATTGCACGGAGTACGAGAAATTTTTATTTTTGTAATTGCTTTCTGTTTGCCCTTACTTCACTGCGACAGGCAGGTGAGTTCTCTGATTCACATGTTACACCTGGGGACCTTTGTTATTCATTTGTAGAAAACACTCTTGATGCCATTATGTAGTTAAAACTGATATTACCTTGTGGGCCAGGATTTTCTGACAGTTCGATTGATGTCAGTGTTCCAAGCAGACTATCCTTTCCAAATGACTTATGTAACTTATGTCTTCTTCTTGTCTTCTTATTTCCTCAGCATCCTTCTTCAAACTGTTTTTCTGCACTGAGATGGTGAATCAGATCTGCCTCTTCTCTAATGAGTACGCCCCGATGACAGGACCCAACAAACCATCTGTCTTTCGCTCCTGGGAGGATCTTGACTCTGAGATGTTTCTCAAGTTCGTTGGACTGCTAATGTATATGTCTATTGTTCATCTACCAAATTTAGAGCTGTACTGGTCTACGAAAACCTGTTTTCATGGACTATGGGCAAGGGCATACATGAGCAAACTAAATTTCAAACAAATTCAGTCTTTTTTTAAATTATGCAATCCAGACACTGAGCGAGATACTGATAAGCTACGGAAAGTTAGGTTTGTGCACTATTTTTTGAGTATGAAATGTATGAAGTATTGGCAACCTAACCAGTGTGTTAGCATAGATGAGAGGATGGTTCAAAATAAGGGGAGATACAGTTTCAGGCAATACATAAAGGATAACTAAATGGGGGATGAAGTTACGGGTGGTTGCAGATTCGATGAATGGGTACACATACAATTATGAAGTTTACACAGGGAAAGATGGGGGCACACTATTGGATATTTTTGTTTCAATAAAAATAGAAACTGTTTGCTTGCAGAGCATACTGTAGAATAGTCTTTTGCCACTTACTACAATTATTGGACAGTTGAGTAGAAAAATGTTTTTTGTTTTAGGAGAGGTTTTACAGCGCTCGCAACTGCAAAAGGTCATATATGAGCGCCAAGGGGTGGATGTCAACAGAGAAGTCCTTACAGGGAATCAGACTTACTCTGCTCTCCTCTCTAGCTTCAACAGCACAAAGTCTGCTTTGACTATCAAGGCACCCCGGAAATAGTGGGTCACAAGAGTGTGACAAACTTACAAAAGAGGTAGAGGAAAATGACGATACTAAGGATTAGGAAAGAAAAAGCAGCAGTTCCCTGTTGTAGTTCAGGCACAGTTATGAGCATGACATTGTTGGATCAGCCCATTTACAATTCTATTGTGCATTAGGATGAGAAATGTCCCCCCTTTTGGAATGCCTAAAGACACTTCAGTCAGTGGCACCGCTGTGGGGAGGGGGAGTAGAATGTTTTTCCGTCATGGACCACAATGATGTAAAGTACCGTACTACAATATTTTTGTCTATTTTTCCATGAAAATCTCTGTTGGTATTGGTATTTTGTATGAATACAGTGTGTTCTTGTCATTTTGAAATATTTGGTATTGCCTTGTCTGTTTTGAGTGCAATTTTGTGGATGGAAATTGACTGGAAAGTCATTGATGTTTATTTTTTCTATGTCGCGTCGTTATTTCATCGCGAAACATGATAAATGTATCTTTTGTCAAAAACCTTGTAACTTTTTTATCCTTTTTTCAATATGCATGAAATTTGGACACACATTGCAAAATTGGAAGTGCTTTTACTCCATAATAAACTTTTTTGGGTATCTTAGAACACTTTTTTTTTTCTTTCTTTGTGACTGTTACATGTTGGGAAATTTTATCTTTTTTTTCCCTGTCCCTCCCTCTAATAACAGAGCACTACATAGACAACAGTGGTCATATCATGATGAAATTACCTTCATTTGACAGGAAATTCAATTTCCTTTCCAATGGTATGTAATTTGACATACTTTCTGCGGTATTTTATATTCTATGGTAAATCATACTAACCATGGGTGCCGTGAAGGCGAAAATGGTCAAAATACCAAGAACTGCTGAGAGTTAAGACTCACGATTGGACTAGTGAAAATACGTGCGGGAAGATCGTTTTACCTGTTGTGGGCTTGATCATGATTCCCCATGGATTCTCCCCTTGATGAATCAGCTAGGATCCCACATGTACCTTGCTCCCAAGCACTGGGATCTCAGGCAGAGACTAATGTATTATCTTTTTCATAATGTATATATTTGATACTTCAAACCTGTTTACTTCATAGGACTTCTTACGAAGACAGATGTTTGTAACATACGTATAGTATAAGGTATTGGAAGAAAAGGATTTGAATGTCAAGCTAGTATACCTTTTAGTAGGGTAATGAATACTTCTTTTTTTAATATTAGAATAACGTACTGCACCGTGGGATTGGACGTAAGGTGGAGGTGCTCACAATGATTGATTGGTAGTAACAAGAGCTGTTTGATATTCTGTGATGCATTTTTATCTGCATTTTATTTATTTAATTTTTGCTTTTCAGGTTTTCCCAAGACAGGCCGCACCCATCAGATCCGTGTACATCTTCAGTATCTCGGTCACCCGATAATCAATGATTATTTCTACAACAGCGAGGCCTGGGGCCCCAACAAAGGGAAAGATGCGGACTATGGAGTGGCCCATGATCAGGTGAGTTGCTTTTGCTTTTGGCATGACGAGTTGATCCTTGGTTTAGTTGATAGCATGAAAATAGTATAATAACAACCTGTCTAATTGTATTTTCATTTCGTATGTAGTGCAGTTTGTTTCTTGTACAGTCAAACCTCGTTGTACCGCCAGCCCCGCTTTCCACCAAGTTTTGCCAATGTACGAAAAGAATCTCCCATATAAACATAGTATTTGCGCCTTTACACTGCCATCTGCCAACTGTCTCAGTTGTACGGTTCTTATTAAACTAATGTAAATTTACCGTGCTGTACTGCCAGCAAACTGGCCGCCAGAAGTACACAGTACACACTACACATGGCTCACTGCACATTCACTCAGTGGCTGCTTGACAATCGTTCATACATGTCTCTACGTACTAGGCCTAGCTCTAGATCAAAGGCTTTCCGCTGATTTTCTCCCTCTTTGCCCATCCCACTTCCCCACCCTTGTCTTGTAGGTTTAAGGCAATATAGATAGATCTACATTGATGTAGTGTGTTGCAAGCGAACACAATACAATGCGTAGTGTAGAAGAGTTCATTTAAAATCAAACATAGCTTTGTATTTTCATCATCAAATGTTGCTCCACACTTGAATTTGACTAATGTAGATGCGCCGATTACAGAAATGCTATTATTTTTAGGCCTTGGTCAATATTTACATTCCATGAATAAAAGATTTTCATTAAGAAAAAAAAATTTTCATGACTTTTTATCAGGTGTGTGAGAGAATTCTGTCAGAGCACTACGCAAACCTGTGGGATGGTGGTGACAACCCACTGTACAAGGAGAAGTTTGGCGATCTAGAGGAAAACAAAGATGAGACTGCAGATTCTGCAGAGCCGTTGAGCACTGATTGCAGCTGTATTGGGGAAGAAAAAACTGCAAACCCTGACTCTGATGAACCTTTACCAAAACGTCCTCGGCTGACTGATGTGGAAGTTAGTTGTCCTGTGGAGTCTGATACTGGGCTGAACACCGCAGAGGCTGGTGTTTTAAAATCATCTACAGATCAGCAGACGGTTGAGGGAGTGAATGGTCTTACACCTTCAAATGAGCATCCTGTAACCAGTGCATGCTGTAGAAAGGACAGTGGCCTGCCAGAGTTTGACGTTTCAAAGGTTTCTTTAGAATTTGGATGCAACTTGTGTAAGAGGAAGGGTCGAGATCCAACTGAGAAACACTTGGTCATGTTTCTACACGCCCTGAAGTACAAGGTGAGTCCTGTTGAGTTTAGGGTTGACGTTCTGAGCTTTATATATATTTGCTTTCACTTTAGGATAATGTACATTTTGAAGATCTTGAACTGCTTAATCAGTCCTCTTGTTGGATAAGACAGGGTATTGAGCTTTTAGTACTCTTCCAAAATTATTTGAAATGGTTGGTCCCCCTCCCCCACAGTAGTACCAGTGTCTTGTCATTGGAACAGATGCATCCTGGTAATTGCTAAGAAGCTTAATATGGTGTGTTCTTTTGAAAGGTGTATCTTGTCATAATATATGGCTATTAAAGTGTTGTACAGTGTTTTACATTTTGGATTTGTGATTACTGAGTACAGTGAAAACCATACAAAACAGGCCCGGTAATAACAGGGTTTTTTTTTAGTTCCCCTTTTTTTCCTACTCTTTGTGTCTATTAAAAGCTATCAGCAATAACAGAACCTCATCGGAGCCCATTCGGTTATAACAGGGACAAAGGCTCGTTAACAATCTGTAAAAAGTAAGAGAGAGAGAGTAAGTGAGAGTGAGAGATAGTGTGTGTGTGTGTGTGAGAGAGAGAGTGAGAGTAACGCAGTGATGGAGCAAGCCAACGCAAGTCACGCCACTTAAAGCACACGCAGCGGGTGAAGCAAAAGAGGGCTGCGGTGTGCTGCAGACTTCAATCTTGCCCTAAGCCTAGCTACACACTATATGCATCCGTAATATTTCATGTGCAGGGTTGCCACATGGCCAAAACCCCTGTTCCTGGGTACTTGTGACAAGGGAAACTACTATGAATAAATACAGCTGGATTAGTCCACACATGCTTACTTCCCTTGCATTTCTGATTTAACAGGGATCTGGTATAACAGAACTTTTTCTCTGGTCCCACCATCCTTGTTATATCAGGTTTCCACTGTAGTAGTAGAGTGCTACTGCTTTTGTGTTTGCATTTCAAAGCCCAAGATAAAATTTCAACTGTAAATGAAAACGTGGGTTTCTCCATTCTGTACAGTCCTTCTGGCACATAAACATCGTAGAGTTCTGTAAGTACCAAAGTCATCCCTTACTAGTACAAGGCACAGAGTATATAAGTTTTAGGGTGGACTGATGTCTCCACGTAAGACATCAGGCTAATAACAAACCGTGTGTGTCGCAAGCAATTCACATAAGTCTGTTAGGGTGCTTTTTACACCAGAGACCAAAAAAACCCTTTAGTTTTTGTAGTGTTGTTCCTATCAGGAATCGTGAAAAGCAAGAAAATTGTAAGCTTTTGTTGCGGCGTCGGTGGCCTAGTGGTTAGGCTCTCGGACTCGCAACCGTAAGGTCGTGGGTTCGAATCCCGTAAGGGACCCGACGTTGTGTCCTTGGGAAAGGCACTTTACACGAATTTTCCTCACTTCACCCAGGTGGGAATGGGTACCCGGCTATAGACAGCAAAAGATCTTGTCAGTTTGTTAGTGTTTGAGCGCTTAATCAGCTGCTTGCACTGTATGCTTCCCGGGAAGCTGAGAATGTTTCGGAGTGTTCTATGGTCTGCTGGGGTAATAATATAGTGTAAAGCGCATAGAGCCTGCTGTTGAGCGGGGATATGCGCTATACAAATGCTATCTATTATTATTATTATTATTATTTTAAGCTTTGATCACTGCATTAATTCTTTCACTACCAGTGGGTTTTCTTCATCTGGACTCTACTTTCTGATTCTGCCTACCATTGGACAAGATTAAACTGAATTCAATTTTCAATATTAGCCACATGTGTTATATATGAAAATGGTAAATAATGACCTTTCTCAACATGCTAAAAACAATCATTCTTCAGCCTGAAATTTCAGTTTTGATTGTTACAAAAGTAGGTATAGTTTTGAAGCAGGAAGTGGCGAGCCGTGTCCGGCGTTGGGAGTAACACTAGCCGTGAAACGCGGCTCGCGGTAATGAAAGAGTAAAAGTGCATTTTGGTGATGTTGAAAGGTGTATCTTTGATAGAGCTCTGGGAGGGTGTAAAAATGGAAAATTCTCGAAATTTGGACTTAAATGGATTGCTTGCAACAGTGATGAAATGATCTTTAATGACTTAATGAAAATGAAAGTCAGATTCTACTCAGAATCAGATACCACTGAAAATGAAGAAGTAGTGGGGAAAAATAATGACCAGTGCGTGACTCATCCATTGGTCAAAGTATTAATGTATGTGAGGAATTGTGGTAAAATCAGGCTCTCATCAAAATAATGAAAGTCAAGAAACTGGCATTTTTCTGCAGGTTTGGGAACTTTTATCAAATTTTTGTTTTTTGGCTCAACACCTTTCATGCCCACACAATTGTGTGTGGATTTCACTGAAAAACGTTAACGAAAGGCAAAAACGATGTAAATATTCAGTGTCCTGGGACTCTCAAGCTAAGGAAATAACTTAGCTTTAGCGCCTATTTTCTAGCTAATTTTACCTCAATATCTTGACCTGCATCCCAAAAAAATGGATTTAAAAAAATCAAAAGCAAGGCAAACGAAAAGGTTTTAGGATGATACCAATAACACCATATGACCCAGAATTGACGAGCACCTGATTCCACTGCGTCGTGACAGATATTATTTTATTGTTCTTATTGCCTTGACTGGAAACAGGTTCTGAATTATCGTACTATTTTGTTGTAAGTTTTTTCCAGTTCAGTAAGTGCTTCTGTGTACTCTATGCAGTTTGAGTAGTTTCCTCTTCTATATCTCGCTGGTTTACCATTATCCTTTTTCTCCAAAATGTGGTTACTACAGCACAGACCTGCATTAAATCATTGGCTCAAGCGCCCACTGGAACATATACTGGAGTGAATATGTAGCAGTTAATAATGCGCAGGAGCTCAGGATCTTGTAAGCGCAGGAATTAAAGGGTTAAATTGCAACTCAAATCTCTGTATTTATATGTTCTTCCCAGGGGCCCGGCTGGCAATACGAGACAACTCTCCCTGACTGGGCACAGCCTGACTGGAATAAAGAATCCGACTTCATGTTGTAGCCCAAGCTACAGTGGGGGGAACCTGTGGGCAGCTCATGGTCTCAAGCCAAGAAGGATGACTGTTTCAGTGATATCTGGGTTGTTGTTTTTTAAACTCTGAAGTTTATTTGATCGGGTTGCAGTTTGTTGTTTTTGTCGTTGACAATGAAGCTGTTTTCATGGATAGAAAGACCGGCAGGATACAGAAGTCTTTTTGTTGTGTTCTTATTTTGCTATGCCCTTGTTTAGAATACCAAAAAAATATACGTATAGTTTATTTAAGAAAAACTTTAACTCCTGAAAAATTTGTTTGCTCTTGACATGTTCACTAAGTGCATGGTTGCTCCCTGCATGCCAGAAGCTTCTTGCCCTTTGGCCTTGAAGTGGAATATATATGAGTGTTTTGCGACAATGAATGCTTTTATTCATCAAGACCAAAATTTCCAGGATGAAGTCTAAAAAAATGTCCTGTTTATTGATTAGAATCTAGTCTTGTGCCGATTTTATTTCTGTCATCATTTCTCAGTGGCAGGAGATGTAAATATCGACCTCTTATGATTTGGGATACATTTAAGTATTTTAAGCCCATGACCATCGTGTTCCTACTAAAAACTACCTTGCTGTGTGTTCATCTGAATGACTTTCATTCTCTTGATAGCCAAAAATAACTTAAAGGATGTCTCAGAATCCTGTAAAAAGTGAAGGAGTTTGGTGGAAAAAATAGGAGTTACCCAAACCAGTGTAAATTAGAATTCTGTAATGGACAGATCATTGCAAATGAAACAGTAAATGAACCTGTGATGAGCACATTTAAATGTGGGAACGAATTGGGTAGGCCTACTGAAAATAATAAATACTTGCAGTGCATGTCACAGCAGTACATACATTAACCTCCTTATGAACTATTGTTGTAGGTGAAAGTATGTACGTTTGCTTCTGCATATATGTCTTAGTTGCAGGTATGTCCTGTGCATTGGTAAGACTAAGAAGAGCCTGTGCCAGTTTGTTTATGTATAGAGAACAGTTTTAAGCAACATTGTAAGTTTTTACAAGACCGACAAATAAAAATCAAAGTTTAACCAACCCTTATTGTGTTGTAAGTCTTTTTTGATCTCCGGACTTTCTTAAAAATGATCATGTACTTTTATTATGAAAAAAATGTAATGAAGAAATGTTGAGAAAACATAATTTTGTTGGAAAGTAAGTGACAAGGGTTGTTCTTTTTAAATATTTCCAATTGTTTAAAAAAAAACACATTCGTTTATATGGATAGCTTTATATATATATGTATGGTTGAATAGGTTGTTGTCCTAGTGTTCATATTTATTTATTATTATCTGTAGTGTGCAAGTTCTACTGAAAAAAGTAGCATAGATCGCCATATTTTTAAACTGGGGGGCTTATTACAGGTAACAGTAACATGTTCTCAGATCCCAAGTGTAGCCTGCAATGCAATATTCCCCTGAGATTGCCATGAGTTGAGCCCACCCATGATTATTTGAGCCCACAAATTGACTGAATAAATTATTGTGAAGGACAGTAATGAGACTTGCTGAATAAAGAATTGTTTCAATAAAGTACATCTTGACAATGGGGTGGCACAACAATTACAATAATCTTAAATTTCAGTCATCTCTGGGTTCTTCTGTCTCTGTCTCACTGTCTGTCTGTCAGCCGGTCTGTCACACACACACACACACACACAAGAGCAAATTATGAAAGAAAAAATTCAAACTTCATGTAGAATTATCACCAGGCTTTATTTGTTGCAATAATTTACTCTGATAAAATATAGGCCTATAACAATCACAAAAAATTCAAAATTTAAAGCCTTCATCATCATCACATTATGTCCTATTTAAGGAATGCACACTTGTACCTCAACTTCAAATTGGGTACCAACTAACTCACTGTGAGTATTGTGACTCTTTAAGTTACATGATAGAGTGTAGATAATAGAATAATATGCTCATTACACTAATTTAAACTAATTAACTAAACAGAAAATCACTAAATTATAACACCAGCTAAATCCAAGAAATGGGCAAATATGGTGAAGAAAAGATACAGAGCTTAAATACTGTTTCCGCTTGATAATGAATACAAAAACAAGAGGTAGCCTACCTTTGAATACATGACACAATCACTGGACAAGCCCACATTTTTCAGTTTTTCAGTTGTCCACCTCCGTTTCTGACACACATGTACAATTGTGTCACGATGCGGTGGAATCAGGCACTCATCAATATTTGAGCGTGCGGAATTATTAGTATCATCTTAAAGCTTGTTCATTTATATTGCTTTCAGTGGAAAAAAGTAACCATTTATCTTCAATAGAAATCAAGATATTTGTGCCTGGAGGAGGTGGGGGGTCGCCTGGTTTTAGAGGTAAAAATAGAGAAAATTGCCGCCAAATTTGATGAATTCCACAGCTGGAGAGCACTGGGAAACTGATAATTTTCATTTTTTGCACTTTTAATCAACGTTTTTCAGTAAAATCCACACAGAAATGTGTTTTTAAATGGACATAAAAGATGTTTAGTCCTCCCCCTCCCCCCCCCAAAAAAAAATTGGATAAAAATTGCCATAATTCCGGAAAATCGCCTGTTTCTTCCATTTCATTACTTTGATGAGCGCCTGATTTCACTGAGCTGCCTCCCAATTAGTCTACAAGATATAAACTTCAAAAAGCAAATCAATTTGTCACCTTATTTGATTCTGGTAATGCTTTGATAAAACGTAACAAGTGCTTTAACCAAAGACCATACTGGTAAAGTGTGAGGGGAGCTTATGTTATTCGTGCTTATTTTGTCATGCCTGTGAGCTCTGCTAAGTGGGTCCAACGCTAAACAGTTTTCAGTTAGAACAATAAGTGACACCTCTCAAGTGGTCAAAGCATCCAATTGTCTTATAAAAGCTGGGCCATTCATGGTCATTGTTTTCCTTCACTTACACAGCGTTGCGACGGGCACTATTTCATGATTTCAGCAGTATATCCAATCATAGCAGCAATTTTGCAGGGTTTTTACTGTTAAGCTTCTGGTTTTCATTCGCATCTAAAACATGCATCCATATATATATATATTTGACTTTTACTTTGTAAAACAAACCTCTGCAACTTTTCTTGGGTGTCAGTGTAGCCTACAGGTCATTATTTCATCACAGAATAAAATGGGGAAACCATCAGGTGGGAGCTTAGTCGTGCCCCTTGAAAGCCGTCTTTGAACCTGGTCCGCCTAAGATTAGTAGCTTTTCTGTCTCCAGAAGATCCAGTTCTTAGGCGAAACAACTATGCTTTAAATTTAAAGAGTAATAGACATGATTTGAGTTGTCTCTAATTCTAGAGTACACTTGACGCAGAAAATATTTATCACATTCAGACGAATGTACCAATGCGTAGATATATAATATTAATATTTATGTGGGGAATAATATCAGAAACAACATTTTTTTAAACAGTTGAAGTAATCCGCCTTAATATGCAGGCCGAGAAGTTTATGTCTAAGACAGCTCAGATAACATGGACAGTCTTTAAAAATCTCAAAGCCAATTTATCTAATACAAAGCTGGAAAAAGAACGTATGTGATAAATTAGTTAATATGACATAAGTGTGTAATATAATCAAATTCTGATTGACAGATAGCTGACTTTTTGGGGACGTTTTAATATTTTTTTTATACTGTGAACCTTTGGGTTTTATGAACCTGATTCTTGAGTACTCTTTGAGTATATAAAACATGTACACAGGAAAATTTGTACACAACGAAAAGAATTCCGATTCTAGTCTATTTCTCTATGTGTGTACTAAACTGAAGATATAGCATAAAGCTAGAGATAGATCTATGTGTCACATCACATGCTGAGTGGGTGTAGCCCATACATTGATATACTTGAAATGACTTTGATATGTTTACATCATAAAGACCTGCATACTACACCACACTAAAGACACTTAGCTAACCAGACCTTCAGAAGAAGCTCTTGCTGAACACAAGACTTCAACCTGGACTAGCATCAACACTGCATCATCAAACAACTCAACAATATAAAACCTGGACTAGGGCAAGCACTACATCATCAAACAACTCAATTTTACAAAATTACAGGGAGCTTATAAAAATGTTTTTCCTTGATTTAAAAAAATCAAGGAAAATAAGAACACTCAACACAAAACAAACGTGTCCAATGACAAACAATAATCACAAGTGCAAGAGTAAACAATAGGTGTGCGTGCTTATCCTCACCAGTCAAATACTGTAACAAAATAAATAAACTGTGCCTTTTTTTTTTACTGCTGATTTGTTTGTAGATCTCACATTTTCCCATTTCCAGAGTGCTCAAATACACCTCTGTGTTATTTTGTCCAAATGTTAACCCTCCCCCCTCCCCCTGTGGTGACTCCAAACACATCCACATACTTCTTGTACAGTTAAACTTGCTTTAACGACCACCTGTCCTACACAACCACTTTCCACTTCCCCGCTTGCATTTTATTTTCTTCATTACAATGACACTGTCAAAGAGGAACACATGCCAAAGAAGACAATTTTTCTCCTCAACAATAATGGGCAGTCGTCATAGACAGATTTGACTGTATTTGATCCTCAGTGAAAACACCTTCAGTAGTGTTTATACCAAAAACGAGGCTGCTTACCAGTGAAATAAATGTATTACTATGTGTTTTCTTTTTAGTGCACACACAATTACAACAACAACAAAATCACAATATACCCACAGAAAACAGTCTGTGCTAAATGGCAAATAACAGTCCAACAACAACTGAATTAGGTCAAATACCGGTAACAAAACAGCACATTTTACTTGGCATGCACCTGCACAAATCTAGAAATTACATTCATAATCCTTTTTAAAAAATCAGTGTCACCAATCAAAACAGGGCTTAAAATACTTAAATCTGAAAATGACGAAACTTGCAAGTCTCTTCTAAACTAAAAAATCAAGCTCCAGTGTCTGTACAGTCAAGAATTTTCACACTGAGGGCATCATAAAAGCAGTTTCAGTTCACACAAGCTTCTCAATCACAAGAGCCATATTTTCTAACAAGCCGCAGGACAAAAGCAACACAAGCAGTCCACCACTCTGGGATGAACATCAACTGCCCACGAAACACCAAACCAGACACGATAGAATACAGAGCAATACATAATACTTTAATAAAATCAAATTTGTGGAGCATTAGAAAATCATGCTGGCAGAATAGTGAAAATCAAAGATAAAACCATTATAATTGCAAGTAAATTGAATAGGCTGTCTTTAGCTCTAAACCATTTACTGCCATCTTCAGGAATAATTTTTTATCATAAATCACTGACAATGGTGGGAAAGACAAAGACAGTATCTTTTTTATCCCCCAAGTCAAAGAAAGTATCACTTCACTTTCAGTGCAGACTTCAACCTAACAATAGGGACATTTATTTGTCACTTCACTCATTTACCTTTTCTCACAAACAGGTCCAAGTGACATAATAAATTCAGTATTTGTGCCAAACTGTCCGTGATATTTATTTTTTTATTATTAGATATTTACATGATTCAAGCGATTTTTTAAAACTTGAGGTCACAAAGTATACTCCCCATATTATACGCTCAACATATACTGCCAGGATCAGGCCCAACAAAGGGGAAGTATGCCCAAAGGATTTTTCATTGAACACATCATGGCATTTTGCTTGGATTACCTGCCTCTTCAATCTCACAGAATGACTCAATCAATCTCAATGTAGCAGCCAACACTTCGAACAGATAAGACACTATATTTGAAGTAAAACAGGTACTTGATTTCCCACATGATCAGCCTTCTCTAGCTTGTGAGAAATTCATCCAGCATTATGATAAGCAACATATAAAAATGGGATGATTTTGGAGTCAATATACCTCCTGTGCTAATACTATACATGTTATCATGTTACAGACAGGTGTATATACGGTATACACCGATAACTTTCTAACTTGAAAGATGGGAAGACAAGGATCTTGTTATAATGTTATCTTCAACTAAATGTTTATCCATTCCAAAGATTATATTTATTCAAAGAAGACACAAAGTCTCACTGAGGTGGGAA